CAGGTGGGCAGAAAATCCCCAGAGATGACGGCCCGCTCCCAGTCAACAGGGAGGAAGGACTCAGGTTTGGGTCTGTGTGATTAATATCAGGCTGAACAATAAATGCATACCCTGGGCAGTCCACGCCGGTGATTAAATACACATTCTTTAACCTCAGTCCTTCAGAAAGCAACATTTCTGATTCAAGTGTCACCTCCTCCAGGAAGTCTTTCCTGATTCTGCTAGTAACTCTTCACCTGTTGTCCCATACCATTATGTCTGTGTGTCATTATAGTCCTGAAAGCCCTCGCTGCATCCTGTCTTGCCCACATCTGTCTCCCTAGGTAACTGCTAGATCCTGAAGGCCATAAACTCCGCCTCATCAGCGCTGCCTTTCTGTCGCTAAGCAAAGAGACTCACTCATCATAAGCCTTGGTAAATGTTTACTGCGTTGAGCTTAATTGCCTTTCTAAGCCCCAAGGAAAGATCAAGGAGGAGGCAGCAAGCCTAAGGAAATAATTAATCAAGAGTTGATAAACATTTTTCTCTCTCCATTCCCTCCCCCAAGCCAGCTGCGGCCGGACCTTCCCAAGCCTGGCCTGCGGAGAAGCAGCCTACGAAACAGTGTGGCCTCCTCCTCTCCCTCCTGGAGCAAGGAGGGTGGAAGAGGGGCCTAGAAACCGCGAGAGACGAGTCCAATCACACTGCCTGCTGGTGGCAGTTGTCCTGGGGGACACGGCAAGCACGATGACCTGTGCCTTGCAGTGGGAGGAGGGAGAGTGGTTCCTGGGACGCTGGGGTTCTGGGCAGGCTCCCCGCAGGTGGGGCTGGAGAGGGCTGGGACTGTAAGATGGTCCGGGTGTGAAGCAAGGTGGGGACACAGTACCACCCAAAGCTCTTGACATGGCGCCCCATGGAGATTACTCTCAGATCCTTGTGGAAGCTGCTCTGTATCTCAAGGCTTCAAGCTGGGACATTTCTTGGGTTTTGTTGTTATTATTATTGCTGTTGCCCGTGCTGGAGTGCAGTGGTCTGATCATAGCTCACTGCAACCTCCAACTCCTGGGCTTAAGCGATCCTCTTGCCTCAGCCTCCTGAGTATCTGGGACCATAGGTGAATACCACCATGCCTGGATAATTTTTCTATTTTTTTTGTAGAGATGGGGTCTCACTCTTGCTCAGGCTGATCTCAAACTCCTAGGCTCAAGCGATCCTCCCGCCTTGGCCTTCCAAAGTGCTAGGATTATAGGTGTGAGCCACCGTGCCTGACCCAAGCTGGGAGATTTTTAAGAGAACTCCAGAGCTGCCACATAGATGAGCTTTCATGCCTGGGGCCTGATTTTCAGTTCAGGAAGCCCCACTGGTGAAGCAAGCATCACTGAAAGACAGGAATGAGCAAGGACCAACCCCTCTCTGTACTGCAGTCTTGGCGTGGTATAGCGAATGTTCCCAACCCCCTTGGGGTAACCCCCTTGGGATAATGCATGGGACTTCTAGAACCCTCTGTTTCTCATGCTGTCACAAGCAGACAGTGGCAAATGCTTTAAAAAAAGTGTTTTGGACATCAGTTTCAGCACAGTATAGTCAGGAGCTAAACTCAGAAGGTGCTTAAAGCCCATCATTTTGTCTCACCTACAGCAAAACTTCCGCGCTAAGAAAATCAGCCTAGGGGAAGATATTAATTGTAGTGAAAAGACAAGTCATGGCCCCAAGTAGTATTGGATCAGACCGGTACCAATCCAAAAAGCCCCAGGTCCTCCAGCTCCCTCAGAAAATAAAGGCAGTTTCCTCCCGGGTCCGTGCGGCATTGCCCAGCGCAGAGCAGGCGGACCCTCCCTGGCTGTGGGGGCCCTTGCGGCTCCCTCAGGGGGCAGAGCAATTTCGCCCCAGTTCAGGCATCATCTCCCATTTTGTTAGTCACAGACCAGGGCACGAGTGCTGCTGGCTGGAAGTTCCCAGAGAAATCTGGGTTCGGTTGTTCTCGTTTACCTGGGTTCCTGTGGGTGCCTCCCTAGGGAACTGTCAAGGCAGCTATTACACACACGCAGGCACACACATGCACGCACACACGCATGCACGTACACGCACACACACAGGCAGCTCAGGCCTGCAGGGCCCAGGGTTTCCAGAGCACAGGTGGGATCAGGGTGGAGAGCATGGCTGGGAGAGACCGTGACCGTGAGCAGTGTCACAGTGCAGCCTGCTGGGCAGGGATGACGGTGCAGCGGTGGAGGCAGGGGCAAGGGCTGCAGGGAAGGGCATCCTGCCTCCCCGCTCTCAACCTCCAATGTCCAGGAAGGGAGCCTCAAACCCCAAGACGCAAATTAGGCTTGCAGGCCTGCCGACTGGGAAGGACAGCTAGTCCCTGCGTTTCAACACGGACAGATCTCCCGCCACACTGAGCTGTCAACTGATCATACAGGGTTTCAGAGTGTTCCAAACGACTGGCGTGGGGAACGCAGAGGAGGAACAAAGGCTCCGTGCTAAAAGCAAGGAACTGAGCGCCCAGGGAAATGCCTTGGCCGTGCCTTTGCGTGAATTATCACATTCAACTCGCATCAGGACACCCCTGCTCCCGCTGTCCCTCAACCCCAACCACACGTGTGCACCTTCTCCACAAGGCACACAGAGGGCACCCTGCACGTTAGTAAGTGGTCATGGGCACAACTGTCACAACGGGGGTGGCCGTGGCTCAGGGCAGGGAGCACAGGCAGGGCTCTGTGGGTCAAAAGCCCCTACTCGAGGTGACGGGAGGGAGGTAGGGGACATGGCAGAAGGGAGAAATGGCACTAGAGGGGCAAGCCCAAGCCTTGGAGTTGGACTAGGGTGTGGGAAGGAAGAGAGGGGGTCCCAAGGCTGTGTGAGGATGAAGAGGAGGAAGGAGAGGCCTTTGACAGAACCAGAGAAAGCAAGCCAGGGCCATCTGGTAGGGGTGAGATGAGGAGTTTGGTGCAGAGCTTGCTGAGTGTGGGTAGCTTCCCCAACGTGCTGCACCCCAGAACTCTCTTTTCCAGCCCTCCCAGCACCTTTGCGTGGCTTCTCTGTCTCTGTCCACCCATCTCTGCCCCTAGTTCCCCCTGGCCTGGCCCCACATGCCTTATCTGTCCAGCAGCTCCTGAGGTTGGAGAGTTCCTGGTTCCTGACGGCCCTGGGCAGACAACAGCAGCCACCTGCCCCAGTGCCCCACCCAGGCACGCACTGTCCCATTGGGTCCCACGTGTCTTCCCATCCGCCCAGCCAGGGTCTGAGGGATGCCTGAGGCTCAGCGCGCCAGGCAGGGGCTGCGGGAGCGCCCGAGTCATTCCATCTGCCCGAGCTGTGCACGGCTCCGCTGGAGCGCACCATGCCCGTCTAGACAGATCCACGCTCTCCATCCTCAGGAACTGCCAGGCCCCAGAGCAGGGCTGCGCTCCAAAGGCAATTCTTCCCCTGCAGGTGAGGCTGCTTTGGTGGCCAAAGCCAAGTGCATATTGGAGCCATTTCCCACTTAGCTGGCGGTCAGTCGCCTGAAGTCTCTGGAGAAAGGAGATAGGGCTCTCTGGTAGGCAGAGTTTTTATATTTTCATCATACTTTTAAAAAACAAACGGGTAGTTGGAGAAAACAGGCGACAGAGTGGGTGGCCACTTGAGACCAGAGAGAAAGATCAAAGCCCACCAAGAAAGGAGTGAGAAGCCTTGGTGTGGCCTAGGGCACAGTCTAGGTGGCCCACGCTGCATGAAAGGCAGCCAGGGGACAGGAGATGCCGGGCGAGGGTGCCACAGTCGCAGGTACCTCATACCCCCGCTCCCCCACCCACTGAGCACCCCAGTTAACAGTCTTCAGCTGTAACACCTGCTTTCAAGAGACATTCAACCAAGCCCTAGTTCCCCGGGAGGGCCGCCGCATCTCTATGTAGGAGGTGAGCCTGCCTGAACTCTGGTCTCCACGCTGCATTCTGTTTCCAAGAAGAAGCTGGAATTCCTCCCTCTAGACTCAATTGTTCTGGCTGCTGCCCCTCTCACGATCCCAACCCAGGGCGGCCAGCCAGGAGCACTCTCTGTTCTCAGGCTGAGTGTCTCGTTAGGAGAGCCACACATGATTGCAGGGCAGGGAGTCCATCAGGTCGGGCTTAGGGCCTCCTCCTACAGGCTCCAGCCCCCCATCTTTGGTAATGAGCATGTTCTACCAAATGACCTCCCAGGTCCCTTAGCTCAGCCTCCCAGTTTAGGATGACCAGCACCCACAGGACCAAAGAGGGAATGGGGCTTGTCCAGAGAAACAGCAGCACTCAGTGGCCAGGCCCGGACCCGGGACCCCATCTCCAGACACTCAGCCTGAGCTGCCCCACTTCACAGCACTGGCACACAACGCTCCCGCCAGGAGGCTGGGCGCTGAGAGTCTGGTTCCCGGAGCCCTCGACCCACTGGAGACTAGTGAGGCCCACCGCATTCTAGTGTGGTCTTTCAAAGGACTTTTCACTGATGTTCTACAGAAGCTGGGGGGATTTCCAAGGTGCTAGGCAACAGGACATCATTCTGGGGGTGGCACCACAGGGAGGAATTCCAGGACCCAGGCTCCCTTCCCTTCTAATTTGGAAAAGCCATAGAAAACCAACATTCCCTGTTGGGCCAGCCAGTGTATTGCCCATGCGATCTGCCAGATTGTCCCTTCCCTTGGTCAACACTGTGGCCACCTGGGCTTAACCCCAGAATCAGCTTCAGCCAGGTCCTTCCTTAGGACAAGATTAGGGAAAAGAATAAGAGAGACAGATCCTCCCTTCCCTCTTCCCAAAGATCAGTTAGGGAACAAAAACACAGTGCTGAAAACCTCAGGATGCAGTCATGGTAAAACAATCTACGTGGGCTTTTTCCCCGTCCCCAGCTGCCTCCCCACCCACGAGACACGGAGCAGGGGCTCACACAAGCTAGAAAGGACGGTCCCTCTGCTTAACAACAGACTGCCAGTGGTCAAAAAGGCCAATGCCATAGCGTTCAGGTTTGCATCTCTGGGACCCTACCAAAAGTCCCCTTCCACATCTTACCTGATGAGGTCAATAGGTTGAAACTTGTAAAATACTCCATACCGTGCCCATTCCTGATACAGCAGCTAAACAAGAAGAATGAGAAAACAGGTTAGGGGCAGAGATGGGAAACTGTTCACCTTATTTTGTGCATCCCAGCAAGTCAAAACGTTACCGCCAAAGCCCAGATTCTAGGAAATTGTCATGAGACATCCACAGGGGGATGTCCAAAGGCAGGATGCTATAGAAACTGGCTTCTCCTTCCCCAAACAGAGGGGACCTTAATGCCAGGCCATTCTGTGCCTGCTAAGCATAACCCTCCTTCTTTATTCCCTTGTCTTGCCTAGTCCAGCAAAACGGGCCCTGGCACTCATCGTTCACTCATTTGACAAGTATTTATGAAGCATCTCCTATGTGCCAGCACTGTCCCCACACTGGACACAGCCTAAACCAAAGTCACTGCTTATACTCTGGTGTGGGGAGACACATAAACACATAAACATACAAGATCACTTACAAATGCCATGAAGAAAAGTAAACCGAGGCAAGGGAGTAGAATGCGAAGGAGGGAAGCGGGGTATCGCTAGTTTAGATAGGATGACCAGGGAAGGCCTCTCTGAGGAGAGGACATTTGAGCTGAGACCTGGAGGAAGTGGGGAAGTATCCAGACTAAAGGACCCTCTTCTTGTGCAAAGGCCCTGACGCAAGTGCACAAGGCACATCCTGGGAAGAAGAGGGAAGCAGTGCAGCTGGTGCAGAGTGGAGGGCAATAGGATGGCCAGATCACTCGGGCCACGTGAAAATCTTTGAACTTTAAAGGAAGCCAAAGTCCTCTGCACTAATGGAAAGAGTTTCTGCAGGGAGATGTGCAGCAGAGGGCGGAACGATCTGACTTAGGTTGTAGAAGGCTCATGCTGGCTGCTGTGCAGAGAACAGACCGAGACTGAGCAGAGCCCGAGGGAAGCTACTGGAATGGTCCGGCAAGGGATGATGGCAGCTTGAACCATGGGGCAGTGTGAGACCTAGTGAGAAGAGGCTGATTCTGCTTAGATTTTAAAGGTAGAGCCATAAGATTTACTGTTAGATTGGATGTGGGGTGATAAAAAATGAGAACTTGGCCTGAACCATTGAGTGATGGTGATAGCTTTTACTGCAAGAGGACAGTCTGTGGGAAGAGCAGGTTAGGAGGGGCCAAGAGCTCACTTTGGGATGCACCGATGTGAGACGCTCTCTAGGCATTCCTGGCGCATGCTGAGTGAGAGCGGCTGGAAATAAAAATCTGGAGTTCATAAGAGAGTTCAGTAAATTTGGGGGTTACTAAAGAAGAGATGATTTGTAAAATTATTAAATAGTTGATGTTGTCACCAAGGAAGAGAGATTAGGTCCAGAAGAGGCCTGGGGGGTGGGGGGCCGGGGCCCTGGGCGCTCCACCCTGCAGAGGCCGAGGGGACGCTGATGAGCCGGCAGCGAGCACGGAGCGAGCAGCTGGTGAGCGAAGGAGAACCGGGAGTGCGGGTGTCCTGGAGGCCCAGGGAAGAAAGGGTTTCGAAGAAAGGAAAGGAACAAGCTGCTCAAACCCTGCTGAGGGCCGGGTCACATGAGAGTGCGGTGAATTCAGTGACTTGGAGCTCGCTGATCACCTTGGCAAGAGTGGCTCCAGGGAAGGAAGGGGCGATGGAAAGCCCGAGTGCAGCACGTGCGAGAGGCTGAGGGAGGAAGCGATGCCACATGGGACATTTTTGCAGCAACGTTGGCGGAACGGCCATGGCCAGCAAGCTCTGCTGACCATCGACCCGTAAATAAAGTGATTCAGTAATGGGCCATCCTCAGACCTCCTCTATTAATAGATGTCCACGCTGAATAGATAAATAGATACCGGCACTTAATCAAATTCAACGTCAAGAATGAACAGGCCTATGATACAGCAGCTACTTTATCATGTTCTTTCTGCTCCTGATGCATCACACAGAACGTACAAGGAAACCTGTCCAGGTGAACCTACTCTGACAGGTATTGTGGACAGCCATTTGGACATTAGCCCCACAGAAAGCAGTCCTGCTCACCTAAGAATTCTTAAAGACAAAATATGAAAAGTGAAAGGAGAGCTGGCATTCCTACTTGATGGCGATAGGTTTTTATTGTCATAGTTATCTCCCGGCAACTGCAAAACAGAAACAGAAATTACACAGGCCCTGGAGGGGCAAACTGCACCACAGTTACTACCATTTGCAAAGGAAGAAGCCCAGATACAAAAACAGGTTTCATGGTGCAGGAAGGGCAGAGGAAGATCTGGATTCGTGAGCACTGATGCTCTTCATTCCAGGCTGGTGGCCCCTAACCTGACCTCGTTGTCAGTACCTCTCCTCTGACTCATCCTGGGTGCTTCTTCTGCCCTGACTCTTGGCTCCCTCCCCTGGGTGCAGGCCCTGGGCTCTTCCAGCACTCAGTTGTCACAGTGGCATCATTCAGGGCCCACAGGGAGACCGGTTTGCGTCAGGGATATAGTCAGGGACCCCCTCGAGGGCTATGGTACGTCACTGTTTGCCTCATAGGCTCTGACCTCCAAAGCAAATTGTTCCCCAAAACCCGAGCCTGAGAATACCTATCTGCCACTGCTCTGGAAGGAGAAACATAAATGTTCAGAGAAGATAGTACAGCCCAGTCAGTTGCAGCTCAAGCTGACAGCCAGCCCCAGAAGCCTAAGCCCTGGCTGGATCCCAGACCTGCTGGAAGAGACGTCCACAGAGTCCCTTTCTCAATGCAGTCTCCTCTAAGCACAAGCTACACCCATGGCTTGTGGATATAGAGGAAGAGGAGCCATGAAAGTTGTCTGAGCTTGCTACAGGACAGAAGGAAACAGGAGATGATGATTAGGCAGCCCCTGAGCCAGACAGCTGGAGCTACAGAGCACAGTGCCAGAGGGCAACGCAGCAGGTACGCCTGGATGGCCAGGCCAGCTCACACACCTTCCATCACTGGCAGGGGAGGCAGAGAGGGAGCTGGAGAGTGCTGTAGGTCCTTCCTGATCTCTGAGAAAGTTTAATCACACATAGTTAAGACCAAGTGGATCATGCTACACTCCAGGTCCCAGCATCCCAGAACGGACCAGCACCCAGGGTGGAGGGAGGCATGCCCTGGAGTCTCTGTCCCATGACAATTAACACGGTGTAACAAGCAGGAGGATGACCTCAATAACTCATAATGGTCCCTTTAAATTTGCAGAGTCTAGAACCTTCTAACACAGCTCTTAGCAAATCCACTTCCTCCTTAGAGATACACCATGTCCTCTCCTCACCAGGTGGTCAAACCAGCAAATAAACCAGGGTGGGGCTGCAGTTCCAAGAAGGACATGTCTTATTCCAGAGGTCCTGGATGTAATTCCAGGCACGTCTGTCTGACCCCAAGCCTTAACAGCGGGAAACAACAACCCCCAGGACTCAGAGCACACAAGCAGCAAGTTCAGCTCCCTGGGGATCACATTCAACAGTGGGTCATCGACTGAAGTGTTTCATAAGACTATAAAGCAACTCAAGGATTAAAACCCTTTGCAACAACCCTTTGCAATGCCAGAGAACAGCAAGGTGTTTGTGGCCCTTTCTGAGGCTACAAGCTCCTCAGATAGCAGCTAGACCTGTGACAGGCAGGAAGATGCTGTGGCCACCTGGCCACAGCCGGAGGCATTCATGAGACAGGGTAGGACTGAGTGGAGGAGACCTGGTTTCTGTTCCCATGTCCTACGCAGACTTATTTGATCATTTGGCAAGTAATTTCAACTCTCTAGGTCTCAATTTCTCCATGCAGTAACATGAAAGTTGGGCAGCATGGCAAAACTAATGCTCAAGTGAAACCAAGAAGAAAAGCACTGTTCTTGCCAGGAAGTCAGGTTTTTAAATGCACGACTGACTCTCTGCACACCCTTTCGAATGGGTCACTTTACTGTCCACTGGAAAAGACAGCCACCTGCAAAGGCTGGAAAATCCAGGACTATGGGTTTTAAAAATGCTAAAGAAAATCACATTCCAGTGTCGTGCCTTGGGTTCTCCCCTGTAAGTGGGTGAAGACGCCATGGGGAGCCAGCAGAAACCAGGCAGCCCTCGGAACATGGTAACAGTCACTTCCCCGAGAACCTCCGGGAAAGTAGGCAGCTCCTGGAAGCCAGGACGGACCCATCTACCCCCAGGCTGCTCCCTCTCCCCACCGCCCTGACTTCTAGGAGGGCAGGAAACCCTGCTCTCCAGAGGGAGGAAGCCTCTGCCTAATTACCCTTCAGGAGTGGAGAGACACAGAGACTTCCAGCCCCCACCGACCTCAGGCTGAGTCATCGAGGCTGCACCACAGCACCAGGGGAAGCTGCAGGGGAATGAGGCGGGCATCCTCCAGGACTTCTGCGCTTGCCTGGAGTCTGCCTGAAATGAGCCTGGACCTCGAGAATATCATGGAAGCAGCCACAAATTGCAAGGAAGTGTAAAGCAGAGCATCCGGGAGGTGGCAGGCTTGGCAGCTCGGGATACTATTGCAAGTCATCCCAGAAGGCCTCCAGAGAGGCCAACCCATACTGCTGTTCCCAAGCCTTCTCCCTGTCCTCCAGCTCCAAATGCAGGGAGTCTTCCCTTGCATTTAATCAGAATCCTCCCTGCAGCCATCTCAAAGAACACTTGGCGGTTATAATGTAATGGAAACAAATAAATATGCTGTGCACGTTCAAAGGTCCTTGCTCTTTCTTCTTTAGGATACGTTGCAGCCACCACCCACATGCCACTGAAGCTATAGAACAAATCCAGCTGGTGGCGAGAATTCCTCTGGCTGCACAGAAGAAGCTGTGTCAACACAGCTGAAGAGCACTGGCTGGGATTTGGGCACCAGGGTTTTAGTCCTGACTTCACAGTCACTCATGGACATTGAAACTCATCTCCTGTCCTTGCTGGCTACCGGTTTCCCAACTCGGATGGACAGTAAAGGGCTTGTGTCCTCCCTGGTGGCTTCTCTCACACCCCATCATGGCAAGGCTCACTTCCCCAAGCAAGACCTTGGCAGAGGACACCAGGTGAGGACACCAGGACTGGCCAGTAAACCCAAGGAAGAGCCACAAGAAAGGTCCTCTTGTCTTTCAAAGACTTGATGCCTTTGTGGAACACCCTCTGACATTCACTCTGGGAGCTACCCCCAAGATGCAGCTCTGTCCTGGCTGGTGTCTCCCTGCCTCCCAGCCTCGGCCTGTCTACCAGCTGGCGTGTGCACTGACACCAGCCTATCGACCAAAGCAACACATTTTCCAGTGGGAAAACGTTTTGTTAAAAGGTGTTATTGTTGTTCAGAATAACTTAATACCTTTCAAAAGACAAATACATATATATTTTAGATAGTCTGTAATTTACTTCTTCCATTAGTGCAGATCACAGAAGGCTGACTGATTTCTCACATGAGTCGCTGTGTGTTCCTGCTCTGGGCAATATTCCTAGACAGGCTGGGGTCACCCCCACCCAGCCGGAGCTTTCTTAGGCAGGCAGCGGATGGCGATCACCATTTAAAGGGGAGGAACAAGAAATTAGAAGAGTGGGAGGACAGAAAATGGTTGGGTGAGAGAGGTGAAACGCGGGGAGAACTGCTTCCTCCTTTTCCTTTAAATCTGATGCGGGACTTTTCAGGAAATTAAACACCGAGACTATTAGCATCAGATAGAAAACAGATGAGGTTAAGACATCACAATACTACAGTAGATTCCCTGGGCAGGCAGAGAGGGGACATGTGTAAGCAATCACAGCAGTATTTCTGGAAAAGACCTTTTATGTTTTTAATACTTAACACTTCATAACAGGGACTAATAGGCAGGATAAAAAGAAGGCAGCTCACAAGGCAACTTGGGGGATGAATGATTTTCCAGACAACAGAGCTGGGGGAGGGAAACGTCTTGAGCTTCAGTTCCTCCTCCCTCCCACCCTCGCCCACCCTCCTCTGCTCATTAGAGGGCTGGGAGAAGCCGGGTGGGAGGATGGCATGGGAGGTCATGGTCTGTCCCCAGGACAGAGGCGGTGGCAGGGGAGGGGCACGGCCATGATCCCAGAGCATCAGCAGACAAGACAGACAGATCTGGCGGAGGGCTGGGAGGCTGCACAGCCAGGAGCTGGGACTGGCACTGAGGGATCTTCCAATGGCACCTTCTCCTTCCCCTGACTGCAACCTCTAATTCCCAGCTTTTTGGGACATGTAGCACACGTATCCCATCTCTGATTTGGGAGCAGTACACGCCACCTGCCTGCCTAGGGGAAAAGAGGAATAACTAAAGGTGATTCCTGGTGGTGCAGAGCATCAAACATTTTAAGCAGGATTTTTGAGAGCCAAGGGCATCCCAAGCTCCACCTGTGTTTAACTGTGGCTGCGTGACCCTGGGCAAGGTGCTCTGTGCCTCAGGTTCTGCATCTGTCGGTTAAGGAACGTGGGTGACCAGTGTTTCTCAGTTGGAACGCTCTCGTTGGAGGGTGGGGTGGGACTTGTGTGGGCCTGCTGCATAGACAGTTAGCATGGTTGGGACAGTCAGCATGCCGGTCCCCCAGGCGCTAAGCGCCAGTAGCAACCACAGGCACAGTCACTGTGCTGACCAGAAGCGGTCCCCACATTTCCAAATGCCTGGGGGTGGTGAAGAGGATTATGGAAAAACTGCTGAAAAATTGAGAAGCGAGTAAATAGAACATCTAGCACACTCCAGCCGGTTCCACACGCTCCGCACCCAGCACACTCGCCGCGGCGCCAGGCGGGCTTACCTTTCTGTCATTCATGTCGTCCCCTGGACTGTCATATTCTCCCTGTGGGACGAAAGGGATGCTGGGTAAAGCCAATGGAATTACCAAGAACAGATGTCAAATGAGAAAGGATTTTTATTTTCTAGTGTCATCCCTTTCTTTCATTCCCATTCAAGGAAGGCCAACAGCATGGCGCAGTTAGGGGCCGATACGCCACTTTCTAGGGCATCGACACTTGCCACACGAAGGTGCCCCTTCACACGCTTCAGAGGTCGCGGTGTCTCCTTGCGACTGGCGTGGTGGCACAGCTCGGGCCTGTGACGGGCAGCACACCCCGTGGGAATCACGCCGTGCCGGCCACGCGCACCCTTGTGCAGAACTGGCAGGACTTGTGGCGCAGGTGCCACACAAACGCGGCAGGAAGGAGAAGCGTTCCTGCCGGAGTCCCATGTGGCACCGCAGCGTGACACACGCTCAAGATGTGACCCCTCAGATAAGCAGTGAGGCCGTGGAGGCACCTGGTTCAAAGACCAGTTAGGTTCTTCACGAATTGTCCCGAAGAATATTTTTGCATAGTGTCATGGATGTTCCTAACGTTACTTCCAGTCATTCAAAAAACTTTAATTATTGATCATTCTGTTTTCTTTACTTAACCAAACAATTGTATAAGGAATTTTGAGAGATTTCCTTTAAAAATGTTAAAATAAAAAAAATACTCATCTCACACTAATATGTACCTGCATGTTAAGGAGGAATTTCTTAGATCTCTGGCAGCCTAAGCTAAAAAAAAAAAAAAAAAAAAAAAAAATAAGGAGGAATTTCACATCTGCACAGAACTATCATGGTCAAAATCTCTCTCTCAGCCAGCGGAAGGTGTGAAGGTTGTGTATTACCCAGGCCTTTGAGCTTCCTCCACTACCTGCCACCCCCAAATCTGCTTCCTCATCACCTGCATGCCGCATCCATACGGTCGCACTTTCCCCAGAAACAAAGGCAGGGGGGGTGGGGAGAGCTCAAGTATTAACAAAACCCAGGTCATGTTGCCATCTGGGGAAATCACTGGAGGGACATTTTGAGATGATTGGCAAAAATCGACCTGGGGATCATTGTCAGCAAGGAGTGGTGTTTTAATGTCAGGAGTCACTTCCATCTTGCCCGGCACGTTTTCACCCACTGCACTGACACTGAAAATCATGGTTTGCAACTTACACAGAGCTCGCCAGAGAAAACAGTACTTACATCGTGCAGAGGGTAGGCGGCCTCATAGACATTGTTTGCTATCAGAGAGTTAATGCCTGCAGAAGAAAGAAGATGAAAATGGTGACTCTGGAGCAGGGGTTTTTCAACTTAACTCTTGGTTCTTGATAGACATTAAACCCTCGCCCACCTCCCAGCTGAGATCACTGCATCCTCTTCTATATCCTTCCAGGCTAGAACTTTTTGTCAAGCTATATTTCTCAGTATAATACTTTTCCACTTCCCGAATGCAAAGTTATATTTTAATATCAGATATGCCCTCCCAAACTTCACGTCCCACCTGGCTTCAAAGGTCCAGGTCTCTCCAGTCCAATAACCCCCCACTGCCACCCCCACCATGGCCACAACTGTCACTTGAGAATCTCTGTGTTCAGTGACAGCATAGGGATGGGCATATGGATGATTTTAATTATGATCAATAAAAGTATGGCCAACAAAAGGGTCCCACCACAGTGTATCTGAACTCACTTCCAGCACCGTCCTGTGCCTTCCCAAGGCAGTGCTGACGGCCTGTCTGTCCCCGCGCAGCCCGGCTGGAGCGCAGCAGCTCGGAGAGGTAGGCAGGACAACAGGACCACAGCTCCCAAATGTGGTCTGGGGAGCCCTGGGAGTCCCCATGACCTCTCCATGGGGTTCATGGGGTCAGCGCTATTTTTACAATATAAGACACTGCTGGCTTTTCACTCTTCTCCCACAAGTGCGCAGCGGGCTCTGCGGCGTGCGCAGCATCGTCCCCGGCGCCATGGCACCTGCGCATGCGCATCCTGGCGCGCACAGTGCCGCAGCCTGCCGGTCAGCGAGAGCCTGCACCTGTGCGCAGTGAGTTCTGCAGGTAGAACATGGCTAGAAGCATACCAAGTAAATAGAAAAGGAAGATGAGGGCTGAAAAGAGAAAGAAGAATGCCCCAAGGAAGCTCAGCAGACTTAAAAGTAGTCTTAGAGTGCACAGCGCTATTTAATGAAAGATGTTCTAGAGATGCCACCAGTGGTGATTCCCAAATATCACCAAGAGAAAGCTCAGTGTGTGGCGAGTGATGAAAAAGATGACATGAAAACGGACACTGCTATTAGGAGAAACAAAAAGAGTCTTCTAGACTGGCATGGGCAGTGCCCAGTATGGATGACCCAGAGGCAAAGGGAGACGCAAAGCCAGGGCAGCGACAGCCGCGCAGGGTTGGCCTGGCAGACTGCAAACCCGGAAAACGCCAGAGGGAACAGGTGCTTGATGAGAATGTGAACCTTCATTTCAGCACCCACCAAATGAAAACTATTTGTTTTCATATTTTAACTTGGACTTTTTTCTTCGATTCAAACCCAACATAATTCCTCAAGTGTGCTTTGGCACTGTGAATAGAATGTTCTCTTTGTTCTCTTTGCTGTGTCAAAGCCACACTGATACTTTTTTGGATGCTGTCCACTGTCCAGGCACTATCAGGCACCAAAATGCTGTCAGGTATCAATGAGGTTGTGATCGCTTATCCTTACGACACCAGAGTCCTTGGCAACCAGAGTCAGTAAAGATAAAACAAATGATACAATGTCATATCAAACGTGAGAGGACTCAGATTTAAAGAAAGCTACTACGTCATTGTGTCATTTAAAAATATCATGATAGTGGATCTTATAAACAGTACTTATTTGGAGTTTTGATTTTGCATAATTCAGAATAAGAGATGTTCTGTATGTAAAAAAAATATTTCTCAGCTTTTACCCTTTCATACATTATAGATCAATTTAGTCACCTAAACAAAAGCCCCTTGGGTACTCCCAATTATTTTTAAAAGTGTTAAAGTACCCTGAGACCAAAAAGTTTAAAAATTATACAAGGGATTTATTTTTTAATTCCAGCAGTGTATGGCACTACTTACATGTAGCAGACCCTGCTAAACAAATGTTAAATGAACAAATGCCTCTGTGCCCCCTAACTTCAGGATACTCACAACAGAGAACCTTCTGCCCAGCATAAAGTCATTGTTATTTACTTGTTTCGTTCTTGGTTTTATTCAGAGACTATAAAGTGGTCTGTTCTGTTCTGTCTGCGTCGGATGGTCTGTCCTGGGTCGCTGGCTTCCAGATGGGAGGGATTATATCTCCCAACTCTTAGTACCAAGGATCCTGCCATATGAGGATCCACATTTAATCACAGAGAGGGAGGAGGCGGGGGCAGTTTCTGGTACACAATGATTTCCCTTGTCTCGCACTTACTTTCTGCCCCAAACCATTCTTTCCAGAGAGACTGTAGACAGTAGTCAGATGAGGAGATAATTGGTTTTGGAGGGAAAGATGTACGATGTCCAAATGCTAAGAAATCTGCATTTGCATGGCTCTGAATAAACGCCGAGGTTGGATAACAAATCTAGACAACATTTACTCATTAAAATTCATGGTTTTCCACCTCCCGTTCCTCCCCAGTGCCCCACCCACATGCTCAGAGACCGCAGAGGATCCCAAACAATCCTCCCCCTCCATCAGCCTCCTCTTCCTCAGACCTCGCCCCATCCGCTGCAGTTCTGGGACGCAGGATGCCAGAAAGCCCTCTCCCTGGGCGCCACGTGGGTGCGAGGCCCCCAGTGGGCTGTGGGGGGCGCTCGGTGAAGTGGACACTCTTCCAGTGAGTTGAAAGCGGAGTGTTTTGGTGCTGCTCTGTCACCAAACGGCCAGTCCCTTCCTGATTTTGAGTTTCCTCCTTGGCATGCACATAGCACATGAGAAATAACTTTGGGGGTTGAGAGGAGCCAAGGGTGGGTAAAGGGAGTGCAGATGGGGGCTTGCCCGGGAGGTTCTATGAGCTGCAGATTTGTCTTACTCACAAGACTACAATTTCACTCTGAGCATCATTAATCAATTCAAGAGCCATAACCACAGCAATGTGAAGCCACCCTACAATAATCAGCGAGAGGCATCCCAAGTCGGAAGGGGGTTTGGGGGTTAGTTCAAAGCAACAAAAGCGCTGTCGACACGGATGGAGGCTGAAGCATGGCAGGCGGGTAGGGCCCGGCTAGACTGCACCCCAGGAATCACCACACCCAGTCCCTGCTCTCACAGCCCATAGTTGCCACGGCAGCTGCATATACCCTGAAGACAGTCCCCAAAGCACCTTGAAAAAGTCAAACAGGTGTTTCACCTACTTAGCTCTTCTGCTAATTCTCAGCTTGGCTTTGCACAGTAGCTGAGTGTCTAGAAGCATTAAACCAACAACCCAAACTCCTGGTCCTGGCTGCCAGATCTTCAGAAAGATCTCAAATTATTGGGGCTGTAAAGCTATGCATCCTCTCCCCACCTCAAATAAAGCCTCCTGAGTGTGCACAACCTGCCGCACTTCTAGGATGGCGCTTGCTCATTGTTTTCTGTTCCCCAGGGGCCTGTCCGGTACTCCGGTTGGTCCGAGTGACGCCTCTCACTTGTGTCTCCCACTTAGTCGTGGCTGGGAACACAAAGGGATAATAGTCCTGGAGTCCCCGGCCCTGTGGCTACAGTTCCCTCAGTTTCTCTTCTTGTTAATCACAGGCACTCCCCTCCCTCCTACTCCCCGGGCACCCTATGCTGGTGAAGACATTTACACCCTGGTTGATTAGTCTGCCTCCTAGACAGGAGGCCCAGGCACAAGGTCCTCTGCCTTGGAGCAAAGATTCAGAAATGAAATCTGAGTCATCCCGATTCAGATATCCAGAGCCTTCAAATGCTGTAATTGAGTGTTTCTCTGTCGCCCGTGGCTCTCTCTTACTTTTCAGATGGTGGCTCGGGAGGGATCCGCAGTGGCTGGGGGAGGAGGAGAGAGTGCAGGAGAGGAGGAACGGGGGAGGCAGCTGCAACGGGACTACTCTTCCACAACTGTGCCGACAACGGGGACCGTGTTGGCCTCTTGGTTCACCCACAGACTTCAGAAACCAAGATTCTACCCCCAAACAAGCATGGAAATCAGTTTGAAAGAAGAAGAAAATAATCAAACGTTTTTTAAAGAGTCCCTGCTTTGAAAATTGAAATTCTGATTTTTTTCTTTCTTTTCAGCAAAAATGGGCTAATTGGTTCCATCATGCACCATCCATCTGGCCATAATGGCAAAGCTTTCTTCTTTGGGTTTACAACTATATTCTTTCCTCTCTGCTCTAGACCCAGGGAGAGAGACCCAACCTTTTGTCCTATTACTCCTGGAATGCGGGCCAGGGAGGAAGAGAAAGCACCAAGGACGTTTTCCTTTCCCCGTTGCCCTAAAGAGAAGCAGTGTCTCAATCCGATGGCGTATAGCCCCGAGCAGCCCTCACTGACTCCGGTCTCCATGCCCATCTCTCCTTCAAATCACCAGGGACTTCCTGTTGCTTAGAACAATAAGCCCCAATGGGAAAGGCTCGTGCTTCCTCACTGCCCAGCAAGGACCACACCTCTGTGCAGCCTGACGCAACCAGGCCTAGCAGCGTGGTCCCTCTGGGTCCCTAGGGGACAGGGCAGGGGTCAGGGCCAAGAAACATGACCAGGGCAGGCTCAGACTCCGGCACTGGTGCCTGAAAACACACACGCGTCATACAAAGCCTGAGGCCTAGCACTGGGCTTCAGAGATATCCCTGGTTTCCTGGACACAAAGAAACAACCAGAAACAACCCAAGCATGAGAGTTTATGGTCTGCCTCCCAAAGAGAGCCTCATTAAATCTGCAAGTACTGCCGGGTGACAGGGACGACAGCGCTATTCCCTCCAGGGCAAACTCAAAGGAAACTTTTATCAACTGGGACAGGTACTTAGAGGAATGGTGCTATGCTCCTAAAAACCCATTTGGTTTTGATTCCCCCCAGAACAGGGCCCAGTCCGCCCGGCATTGCGCTTTCATCCTTGCACTCCAGCCGGACGTAAATCTAAAACAGAGCCCCCAGACGGTGCATTTAACAGAGACTATATTTACCCATCACCAAATTGTCTTGACGTGTGCTTAATTACTTAAATGCCTTTAATCCCAAGCCTTTTCTTCTAACAAAATATAAACCAGTTCAGCTGGATGAATGATAAACCAGATGTTTACAACACACAACATGGTCTGGCTTCGGTCA